TTATTCTGACTTATTCTTTCATTTGCACTTTCATAGTTTCACTACTACTTCATTGTTTCGAAAAAGTGTTTTTTTGATTGACATTATTTAACCTCCCATTTTAGTGTCTTTCTTTTCTCCATAGAACTGGTGGGCTTGTAACAGCCCAAAGACACCAAAATGAGAGGAATCTAGAGATTTGCACAGGTGTGAGGTTGTATAGTTAAGGATGACTTAATACCTTAAAGGAATTAATTATTACTATCTATATTAATAAGATGCATCTAGTTTTTGGTAGTTCATCACTTAAGAACTCTACAACTAAGCGTATTTAACTTGGAATGATTTACGAATAGGTGACCTTATGGAAAGTTTACCTAAAAAAATGTTAAGTGGGGACAAAATACGCTGGAAAGTCTTTGTTGGTTTGTAAGGATAATCGTTATTTCTAAAGGTGGACAAGCACCTTAAAAAGTGTTATCCATGGATAATTCTGACTGGTGAAGTGTTATAACTAACAAGGAGTTATATGAAGTATCATTATGTGAAGTGTTATGAAACTGAGTCGTTGAAATTTCAAATCTGGGGATGTTAGAAGTAAATTTTGCGACAATTTGATATCTTAAAATCTTAATTTAAAACCTAAATTTTCTAAGCAAAGTTTAAACTCCTTTGAGGAAAGTAAAAAAAAAAAAATTTAAAAACCTTTAAGGAATTAACTTAGGTGTGACACCTTTGTTGATTTTATTATAGGACATAAGTTGTGATAATTCGAGAATCCTAAATTACAATAAAATTATCCAACACACAATAACACAAGAATTGTGGAAACTTTAATTCTCTATTCACCGAATGTAGGAGCATGAAACTACTTATTTCAAGCCCCAAAAGTACAAAATTAATCATTATAAAAAAATAAATGAAATTCTCATTTTTGTCATAATTTTTATTTTGTTTTAGAGTAAGATAAATAAATACTTTAAAATTTATTAGTATTTTCTTATTTATAAGAGGCAATCATTTTCAAATAGATGTTGTAGAATGTTTATACATTTTTTTTATACTATTATGCAGCGGGGGTCTCTATGCATACACATGTTTGTGTATTGGTAAAATATTTTTCACTTTAAGTTTAAGTCCTCATGGTTTTCCTTTTGTTCATCACCTAAAAGACCTCTTACCAATGAATATTGTGTGTTTATAAACTTATATTCATCCTATTATTTTAATAATGTGTGACTTTAATTGTATCTTAACAATTTTTAAATAAAGCACCGCGGTTTACCCCTATTTATAGTGGAAGCTAATCCACGAGTATATTCGATGGTGACCCATAAAACTTAATCACGTTCTACATACTTGCATCATCGCTCCATCATGAACTCATGATATTAGGACACACATTTTAACCCTCTATGTTACCTACAAGACTCTCCTCCATATATGGATCCCACCTACCAATTTCATCATACTCACCGACTTAGTCACCTAGTCGACCATTGACTCTAATACTACTTATTGAGCACTTACGGTTACCATATACACATGTCTCCACATTACTAAGTTATTGTCCACTTTGAACATTAGTCTTTATGATTTTACTTTTGGACATCATTCAAATGTCCTCTTGTTTGAACGATATGGCATATGGGACTTTGAAACTTTGATTATATCCCAACATATACAAAATCAACTCTCGAACCCAAATTTAGTTTTCAAAAACTATTTCTTTTTTAAAGGAGTTTTCTATTAAAAATATCGGTGACCTGCCTTTTTTTAAAAAAATATTATTGAGTTTTTGTTATTTCACCTCCACGTGTCTTGTTATAATAAATGGTGTTCCCAGAGTTTAAATAACTCGTGAACTTAAATCATTCCAAATATCTTATAACAATTTTTTATTCTTAAACTCGCAATCCAATGACTCCAACACAAGTGATAATATATTTTTTAATTGTTGCTATGTCTTAGATTATTTTATACAGATTAAGAAAAATTAATTAATAGATGAAGTGAATAATTATTTTACAAAACTAACCTTGTAATTGACATTCTTTATTAAAAATGATACAATGCAATAATATTTTTTACATAATATTATTAAAAGTATAAATGGAAGAAGAAAAAAAAGTAATCAATACTACATTAAAAAGTTAATACGACATTTTATTTTAGAACTTACTTTTTCTTTTAATATGATACTTATGGATAGATGAAGTATTTTATCTTTTATATTTATTTATTTATTATTATTAGTCTTTCTTCTAGAATTTTTAAAATATTTTTAACATTTAGAATCTTATGGACCAAAGATTGATCAAGTTGGTTAAGTTCGAATTTGACAAAAAATATATATAAACCAATCCAAATCAAAGTATTTTGGATTATTTAGATCACTAGTTTAGTTAAATTCAACCTAATTTGGATGATTTCACATGTTCGTGATAGTTTAAATTTTAAACATAAGTATTTTTTTAAAAATTATCTTAAAAATCAATATGCTTGTTAGGGAGTCTCTTAGCTTAAATTCGTTGTTTCTAGTACCAATGTAACACGAACCTATTGAACTAGACTGGTTGCGTGTAATTTGATTTGTCTCCTACACCCGTTATTTGTATAAATGTTTCTAAATTACCCTTACGACAATGAGAACTTCTAGAACACCTAATTTGAAAATTGAAATGTTAAAATTGTGTTCTAGAATACTCGATCTGAAATAATAAATGTATTCTGAAACTAGGCCTGAGCAGAAAATCTCGCCCCGACCGAAACCGGAAGTTTCCGAGGTGAGTTTCTTAGTTCGGCCGGTTATTTTCGGTTTTTTCAATTTTGCGGGTTGTTAGACTCAATTTATAATGGGTTATCTTGGTCGGGTTCGGGTTAAAATATTTGAACCCGTCGGTATCCATACCCGATCGACCCAAATTCTGCTCACAAACTAGAAATCCTAGCCACCGCTCCCGCTACCTGTCCCGTCAGGATCATCCCCCTGCAGCACCCAACCACCACGTCCTCCTCGCCCACGCTGAGTGAAGCCTTCGCGTGCTGGACCGCGAGGCTCCAGCGAATGACGTCGCTCAAATGAAGGGAACGGTTTCGCTCGCATGGACAACGAGGTTCATCGTTGCAGCCAGAACGAACACACTTACGCTTGCTGCTGCGAGCTTCGTACTCCTCACTGCGACGCTATCGGATCCACCGCAGTCATCACTGTCATCACGCGGAAGAAAATCGTCGTCTCCAACTGCGGCGACTCCGGCGTTATCCCCTACCACAGTGAATTTGCCATCCCTCTCTCCTCCATTGTTGTTATCTATTTTTATTGTTTAGATTTTGAAAAAATAACAAATAAAAATAGGACCCAATCTGACTAAACCGACCCAGTAATCCGAGACCCGATAAACACGAAACATTGTTACGATCGAAAATGGGTTAATTTTTTTTTGGTCGGTTTAGATTGGGCTAAATATTTTTGACCCGAACCCGTCCGAACCCGACCCGTGCTCAGGCCTATCCGAAACACTTATGCTGAGTTTTGGAACACCTATTCTGGATTATTAAAAATATATTTCAGAATTGGCTTTCCGTAATGAATTCTTGATACTATTACACCTATTCCTTTTCCTTTATCCCAACCAGCAACCTCACAGTTTTAACTCTTCGCCTCCGTAAATGGATTCCGAAAGGTAGTGGAAGAGCCACCTTTTTTCTGTTTGGAAAAAAGCCTCTCCTCAAGAGTTTAGAAAATAATCGACGATTCAGATTCACCTATATACACGAGTCTGAATTGGAGGAACTATAACTTGCAATTAGAAATCAATACATGTCTCCAGTTATAACATTTAGTCAACTGGATCAAATTTAGATGATAAATCTCTTTAGATAATTTTTTTAAAAATTCTACGATATCTTTCTTGAGGGATACCGGTATGAAATTACTAATTTCATTCTAAATTTGATTTTTTTTTAATAACTTATTTATATAATATTTTATATTTTTTAACTATTTCTATATTTTTTTAAGTATTTCATCCTTTCATTTTTTTTTAAATTATTCATTCTACTTTTATTTAATATAATACAATTTTTTTGTAACAGTATCATTATATACTTAAAAAAGTTTAATTTTAATAACTTTTTTTAACATAATTTTGCTTTTTCACCTTAAATTTTTGAATTTTTTTAATGTAAATTAATTTTTCACTTTTATTATTTGTTAGTTCTTTTCTTTCATTTAATGTTTTATAACATTATTAGTCTGGTAATTTTAATCTTTATAATTTTGTCTTACTTTTCATCGTACAAATTTAATCTAAATTATTTATTATTATATAATTAAATTAAAGTTTTCAGACCTTTTAATAGTCCAGGTACCAAAGCTCCGTCATTTTTAAGGGTATAGTAACAACTCATTCATAAGCACTACTAAGAAAAGACTACAAAGAAGAAAATAAAAATAAATAAATAACCTAATAAATTAAATAATATCTTTTGAAAAAAGTTATTGAGAAAACTTACAGAAAAAAAAAATCATCCATGAACTAATTTTAACTTTTAGAAAAAGTTATTTTATTTTTTTTTATTTTCATACAAATCCTTATGAAAAAAATTATCAAAAATTACAAAACATTATTGAATCTTTTAACAGTTGAAATAATGATGAAAATCATACACTTTTTTTTATAAACTATAAATAATAATATCTACTCCCTCTACATGTTAATAAAAACTATAATCATGTTTGTTTCTTCTAAGATACACATTTCAATTCATAATAACCAAAATAAATACAAACTTAGATCAAGGAGCAAATAATTTCAGACTAAAAATAGTGTTCTAAAAGGCACGGCTCATGAGCCCAATTATAGAGTCCTAACAAAATGTGGTCTACACATACGTAGGACAGCACATGTACGTGCCCCCACATATTCGAGACTCACCCATATGTATTATTATAACACGCTTGAAGGAAAAGGGATATTTTGAGCATAATAATTTCCATGTGGCATAAATATAAGCTGGAGCATAAAATCACGAATGTATAGGAAGGAAAAGTCATTCTTGCATACAGGCTATACAAAATTAATAATTATGCCGTGTTCACAAGGAAAACTGCATCTTTGATTTGGCCAAGAGAAAAGAATAATAATATACATGCCTAGCTATTTTAATAAAGCAATAAAATATTGAAGACAGCCTAACAGTAGTGCAATCAGAGATGAAATGAAATATGGTGCAGAACGAGAGAATAGAGCAGCAGCTAATTACAATGAGAATGAGATTTACTGCTTCTTTTCCCCTTACCCACCAAAGTAACACAAATTAGAAGGTATATATATATATATATATAAAGACATGTAGATTGGACAGACACAAGCAAAACTCTCCAGAGGCCTGAACGAGACTAAACATAGCAAGGAGACTGATGCAACTCCGACCATTAACCATTCAAAATCTTAGGTACTTTCTGCTGGAACCTGATTGGCAATATCAAAGTTGTTCACAGGTTTGGGCCTCCACTCAGTTCTAGCCCTCACAATTTCCGCACCATCTTCAAGTCGAAGCAAATGCTTGCACTCAACATGTCCACTGTGAGCTAGATTGCCAGTGTCGGCACCAGATACAGCAGTAAGGGAATGCAGCACACTGTCCCTACCACATTCCCTCCTATACTCTAAAGTCATGGCACAAAGCTCATGACTCTCCAAGATTGCCTGTGGAGCACTCTGCAACAATCAAAGGACAGTCCATTGGTTAAGAGGCCTGGCCTGATCAACCCAATGCATAACGAATAAGCAATTGAGCATACCAATCTATTTATCTCCAAGCATAAATCAACAAATAATAATTATTAAAAGGAAGAATACAAGTGATTTACATAAAGGATCATACATCACCCCTATTGCTCAACTTTCTGTAACCCCCCAAGTACTGCATATTACAACTCGATTATACCACATTTCAATTTTCAAGCCACCACACTGTTCCTCAGAGGCTCACAAATGAATACCAACGAGCCATCAAATGCCCATAACCATAACCACTACAGAAAATTGAACAATGACTTCAACCATCATATCAGTCATTTCCATAAACCAGTTAAATTACTGGTACTCAGATACCTAATTCCCTCGCACAAAAATAAAAAGACACTTATTCACAGACCCAGCAAATGACCTGATTCTAATCAGGTGACAATTTTCATTGACCAAGAATTCACTTGGCCTTCCACGTTTATGATTACAATTTAGAAGACTCCAAAACTTGTGCTATAAGAGATGTGCCCAATGAAGAATTGAATAAGAGAAAAAGAGGAAAAAAAGATTGAAGTTTATTAGAATACAGGAACAGAAGACTACCTCCAGAATCCAGCCAATGTACTTCACATTGTTGACATGCTGATTGACATCTAGATCACTCCATCTTGGCTGGAAAAATTAAGATACATTATGGAAACTAATTAGAAAACTTCTGAATTAATTTAAGAAAATAAATTAATGACAGCAATTACAAAAACCTAGTTGACATACAGTTAAACCAGTACGAATATAATCTGCTGTTTTGTCATCAAGTTTAGGCAGTTTTCTATTATCCTCTTCCAGAATTGGATCAGAATCCACAAAATAAGATCCTATCTCCTCTCTGACTTCTTCTGGAATTTTAGACAGCCTCCTTGTCAGCTTATTCATCATGACCCAAACACTGTAGATCACCAAAACAAAACAACCAGCTCAGATAATGCTTACATGATACTAATTACAGGTTCCAGGGCGATGTATGTGTACAGATGATAAAGTCCCAGACTTAATAATCAACTAAGAAAATACTAAGTTTTGTTTGATCAATTTGAGGCTTTCACCTGCAAAATATAATACACTTAAATCTGTAGTTCACTAACTTTTTTAATATTGCAAATTGCAAATGATTACCTCAAATTTCAGTCATGACAAATTTGTGTCTTAAGAGAAAATAAAAACAGTGGTTTCCATAACTTACGTAAAAGTTTGAAAGATTCAAATTGTGCCCAATCACTCATCATGCACATTGAAATTCACATCTTAAAATTTGCTGGAAGCAGAATTGAAAAAGAGAATTCCAGAGAACAATTTCTACCTGGAGGCTCTTGTCAAGATTTCACCAGTTTTGCAGTCACGTAAAACCCAATCACGACGCATACCATTCTTCCCTGATTTAGAAACCCAAGTGTCTACTTGAACAACATCACCCCTGAAGCAAACAAAGACACTCAATTTCAGATTATTAGATTCAGAATAACCATGATAATACTCTCCTCGTAGCTTATCTAACTTCAACCCAACACCAAGATGCCAAAATAATTGCACACTTTCTACATCTACTGCTCAAACAGATCCGATCATCATGTATAAAGCTTGTGTTTATCTGATCAAGTGTCATCCCAGAAGAATTTCACAAGTATTGTGGCTTTCATAATTAAGCTTCCATAATTACCATGTGTATTTAGAGTGATCATTTCTTAAAAAGATTCACTAAAATGGATAGAGACATAGCATCTTAGCAAGGATACATTGCAAATTGCACATATAACGGGTGAATTTGGGCAACTTACCACGTAGGATAGCGATCAACCACAACCTGCATCCGAGTAACTACCCATATCAAGTTCTTCTTGCACATTTCTGGCGTAGAACCAAAGCCATCACCAAGAATCCCAGCGGTTTTAACATGATTAAGTGCGGTTTCCTGTTGTTAAGCAAATAGTTGAGAACTATAAATCTAGTATGAAAAATATTAACAAGATGATAGTATCTAGTAAACATACAACCGTATTCTTAGTTATAACATATTCATATCCGAAGATCATAAAGATTCATTTTGTATGAGAACGAACTTACCTGCAAATGGTTCATTACTGTTTCTATAGATGCTGTTCGATCAGCACCAATCTCATATGATCTAATAGGAAAGTTTTCACGAAACACGAGACCGTCCTGAACAATTTTTCCTATCCCAAAGGGGTCAATAAGCATGTCAGGTCGCCTTGGCTTCCAATCAAGCATCATCCACTGCTTTTCAGCTGCCAAGAAAATTGTTGTGATAGCAGCAAGAAGCATGCTCCAATCAGGTAACTGGTTGATAAAAGTCCTGGGGGGAGGTGAAGGTAAATCATCCTCATGCTTCAAGCTTTCTACAGATGTAGCAACTGTGCTACCATTAATTTTCGAAGGGGCTTGCGCCTTTGCCTTAACCTGCAAACCACCAGAAGACGCAGGTTTGGATTTTAGTCCTCCAAGGTTCACATGACAAGAACCATGTTTGTTGCCTGCTCCACCAGAGTCTGGCGAGGGTGTGGTAACAGGGAAAAATGAAGAAGTAGCAGCAGTTGCCACCATAATGAATTTCTACGGCAGCTGCATGTAAAGTTTAAGCAAGTTAGATGGAAAAAAAACAACATAAACATATCTTCCCTCCCACCTTCCACAAAAATGGGGAGAAAGAAAAATAGACAACGAGAAAGAGGCAAACACTATAAATTGAAACAGAGAAAAAAAAAATAGAAAATGCGTCAACCGGAAACATCATTATACTTCAGCCCAAATAACAAATAATCATCACAGACAGAAGAGAGTGATAACAAACACAAACACTTTGCTAAAATCAATGGAAAAATAGAGTAAAATGAAAGACAAACTTGTTTTTAATTAATACTATTAAAAAAAAAAAAGTTGTCATATTCCTACGACAATTCAAATAATAATTTATACAACAATATTTTTCTTTCTATTTCTCTCCATCACATACTCATCACACCCCCATACTTCTCTATCTTCTCTGTCTTTCTCTCTCATTATTAAACAATTAGTTGTAAAATTAATTTTACAAATAACATTTCTCTTTGAAAAAATAACAACTCCAAACAGTAGCTCCATTTTCAGAACAGATCCATAAAATTCTCCTTACTCATGCCCTCTATATTCAATCTCATTAGAAACTCCTAATTGAGAACTACAACCTACAACTTTAACCAGTCGTGAATCTCAACCTCCGCGGATAACGAACCAAAGAGCTCACACGCATTTTTTTTCGATTTACTATAATCCAATCAAGCTTTAGTAAAAAAGAATCGTAGAGGGAAAAGGCTTATAACCCTCCCACCCCCTCCGAAAAACAAAAGCCCAATTCAAAATCAAAACCACCAGTTTAAGTATCTTAAAGAAAAAGCTACAAAGTTAATAGATTCTATTTCGGCTAAAATGGCAAGTCCATTCCATCACGTGAGAGATTCCAGAGGTAGAAATCTAGAAGGTGGAAAAAATATACGACAAAAAAAAAAAAACCAATCAATCAAAAAGACGCGAATAAAAACAAAATCGTCGGATAAGCCGGCGCAGATCTGACTCGGAATCCTGAAAACATCGCGAACCGCAAAATGCACAAACGAAGCCGCAGCTGTAAACACCCCCAAAAATAAAAAACAAAAAAACGAAGAAACAAGACAATGCAACCACAGCGAAAATCAGAACTCCATTGCCTCAAAAATTCAGAACGAACACGCACGACGCATCCAGCTTTGGCTAATTTTTTATTTATTTTTAAATAACTACAAAGCCGAAAACTAAAAACAAAAACGAGAAGGTTCGCGTGAAACGCGGAATTTCATACAGTATGAGTGGAGTTGGATCTCAGAAGATTAGGGAAAGCGAAAACGGAAAAACCGAAACGGTGAATTGAGTGAAGCGCGGAGGTGCAGCTAGCGAAGACGTAGATCAGAGAGAAGAGAGAATGAAATAGGAGATTTGATTTGCATACCTGAAAGAGAGAGGAGCGGTGAAGAAAGCAGAAGAAGAAGAAAAGGTGGAATGAGAGAAGAAGGGCTATTGCGTCATTTGAGTGTTCTGGGTTGGCGTTGGCGAGTTGTTTCCCTAATATTGAAAGAAGAATAAATGGAAAAAAGGGCTATACGATACTCTCCAATTATTATTATTGCGTTATGTGTTGGATTGGGTGTAAGCGAGTGTGTGTGAGAGAGTGAGAGATAAGAAATAAGCGTTCCAGCCACCACCTTTTATACTCTCCAGCTGGCCCTCCCGCCTCTCTTTCAAAGCTCCCACCTAGTCTCCTCTTCATATTACCATATTGCCCTCTCCCTCTATATAAATATCTTTTTTTTATCTTATGATTAAATAATTTTAATAATCCTATGTCTATAAATTAATTAATCACTTCTCCATGCATAGCATACGTTCACGAAGGAAACGTATGGTTCAGCGATAAAGATTGATTTACACTTAAACAAGGTCAGAGATTCGAATCCTGCTTTATATATATAGCCGTGTTAAATCTTGAGACCAGCTATCCCACTTTTTGAGGTACCTCCAATGTAGCAAGAAAATTAATCACTGCTATTGATGGTGAATATTCTAAAGACAAACCAAACTTTCAGGAAATTTAATATAAAGATAAAAATTGCTAAATGAGGTAAAGTTTTGGAAGTTAAAATGTAGGTCAAAGAAATCATAAAATAAGAAGTGAATAACAAAGAAAAGGGCTATATGTTTCAAAAATGTCTATAAATCATGGTCAATATCCATTTCCTCCTCTTCCATAAGAAAACAAAGAAACTAGCTAGAGGAAACAAAATCAAAACCTTCTTCTATTTATTTTACTTTTTGGAGGAGTCGCGTGACATCATAATCAATGGCAGTTCGGTGAACGACATTTCCCCATCCCATGTTTCTTTTTCTTCTTTTTTTCCAATTTACCTTTTTTATTTTTTCCTTTTTCACTTTCTTTATTATCATAATTACTGAATAAATGTCATATAATTGATGAAGAGAAAAAAATGTTTAATTACTTATTTAAGTTTTTTTTAAGCAGAAAAGTATTTAAGTTTAAACAGGGTCTCTTCCACGTAACCTCTTGCCTTGGTCTCATTCTCATATGTGTGGAGAGCGGTGACTTATCTTGCCACACTGAATCCGTCTTTAAAGAAAAAATGTTATTCTTTGTTTAGGTTTTTAACGCTCAAATCACACGTGGGATCGACGATTTTGCCCCAAAAATAGGGGGGTTACGGAAAAATGGAAGGTTGGTTATTTATTTTACTTTTTTCAATGCTCTTATGTGGCTAAGTGGTTAAATTTTATTGGATTAACAGTGTTAGTGTAAAAGTTACACCAAAAATAGATATACTATTTTTTTTTCTACAAATTAGGTTATAATGAAAATGTATAATATTAAGTATCTTATGTAAAATATATGTTACATTTATACTAAATAATTTAAATTTTAATATAAAGTTTTTAATTGACTATTAATATTTTTAAAATATTAGAATTTAATTTAGAATATTGATAAAGAAAAATATTATATTGAAAAAGATAGAGAATTAAAGTGATTGAGATAGAATTTTTTTAATTAACTATGAGGGTGATTTGTGAAAAACAACTACAAATGAGAGAAAGGAAAAGATGTTAAAATATATAATTGAAAAAGCGGGAAAAGTGAAAATCTCACTTTTCAATTATATATTTTAATTTATAGTATCTGAATAGATATGTTATAAAATATAATAACTATTGCATTAAACATTTTTATTAATTCAAAAACAAATAAATAATCACTTTCTTTTTTGAAACAGAATAGTTATTTTATTTTTATTTTAGCAAATAATTATTTATAAGATATTTAAAAATGACATATCATTATGAAACATAATTATTTTAACTATTTTTCTACCAATTCGTATATATGAAAAACACCTGTTAAAATAAATCAACCTCTTTATACTATGCACGACTTCGTGCTTGTCGAATCTCGAAAGACATATACTATGATTGTTGGTGTGGATTTAGTTTAACGATAATAATTGGAACTAGAGTCCCAGAAAATATTTCACTGGGAAATTGAGTTGGATTTGTCTCGGTAAAGTTAGAAATTTTGAATGAAAATAATCAATGAATTTACAACAATATATCTAACATCTGCATTGCTTGTTAAATGTTAATTAGTCTCTCTTGATTATAATAATGTAGGATTAGATTATTATTAAACTTTTATTTTCAATTGAGTTTGAATTTTGAAGTTTGAAAAGTTGAAGGCAGGTGAACCAACATATTTGTTTTGTGGTAGCGTAGAGTTTGACCTTTTGGGTCTTCAGAATCTAAAAAGCTTCAAAGGAACATATTTTACTGCACTCTAGATGTTTCCATGGACGAAAGAGCTAATGCACATGCAAAGTGCCTATCTCCTTCTTTTCTTTTCTTTTCTTTTCTTTTCTTTTCTTTCTTTTTTTTTAATTTCGTTATCCCATAATGAAGTGGTTACAAAATGAGTCTAATTATTAAATAGGATTTATAAAGTATGTCTCTGTAACATGGACAACTGTTAGAAAGCCGTCACCAAAAGTATTTCAAAATTAATTCTTTGTCGGTCTATATAGTATTTATAAACTCATTCTTTCTTTTAAAGAAATCAAAAAGACTTATTTTTTTTTTATTTTTTGGATTCAATGTATTTTTAGTAACTGTAAATATGGTAAATTTTATTTTTAGATTTAGAAAATAAATGGACGCTTTTTGAACTTTTATTTGTAAGAAATATATAACATGCATATCCCATTGCAGGTTCTTAGAACTTATCTCTTGTTTTTTTCATGAAGCATATCTACGCAGAAGTTGAGTGTAGCCAATTCTCAAATAAAGTAGCTTTTGTAAGGGCAATTTCAAGAATAATATAACTTATTTTAGGTTTTTAAGCGGGTACTTCAATGCCACTTAGAATATAAAAAAGTTTATTTATTTCTGTTTTAAGGAAAGACTGTGATTAGAGTTCTCATTTAATTTTATGAGCTCGCATTTTTTTTATTTAAGTTAGAATAATAATAAAAAAATGGATTTTGAGAGTTTTATAAAAGAACTATTCTTACACATCATGTATCAATGGTAAAATTTATAAGAATGGTTCTTATATTTAAGAACTTAGTTAATAATTTTTATTGAAGATGTTCTAACTAATTGTTGTTTAACATGAAAAAAAATAACTTTTGATGACTCTATTAAGAGTTATTGACATAAAAATTTATCGAAGTTCTTTAATATAATGTAATATTATTGTAACACTATTATTTTATAATTTTATTGTTTGATTTGGTAGATGCTGCTAAGAGCTTTAAAGATCAAGAGACTTTAAGAGCACGTTAATCTTCTGGGGGTTAGACCAAAGGTAAGTATAGTCAGCTCAAGAAAGGAGTAAAATAAAACCAAAAAGTTAGCTCATAATTCAAGTTTTTCAAGAACTTTAGAGAGAAGCTAGAGAGAGATTTTTCTCTTCATTCTCCTTTCTTTTTTCTTCTCTTCCTTTTCTACCATTTTCTCAGCTGATTTTAGGAGAGGTGGTAAAGAATCCGAGCTTTAGGGTTGGAACTTCAAGCTAGTGGTGTGTGAAGTCGTTTCTTCTCCTTCCCTTCTTTGCAGATTTTCTTCGAGAGGCAAAGGAAGCTGTGATTTTGAATTTAGGTGTGCATTGTGTGGTTGTGATGATTGGAATGAGTTGATTGAAGGTGTTGAGTGATTAAATGATAAAGTTGAGAAGATTTTGTGGTTTCAAAGTGAAATATGAAAAGATTAGTTTATTCTTAATTGATTTTAGTTGCGTGATGTTTTTGATGATGAAATTATGTTGTTTAGGTCATATATGTGCTTTTTAAATCATTGCATGTTGGAAAGTTTGCTGATTTTTAGGTAGATTAGAAGAAATTGGATTTTGTAGAAGTTTTGGTTGTGTCGGGCGTGAGGAAAAAGAGACTCATCTCAAGTTGGATTCACGTCTAATGTAGGTTGAATGATGTCGGACATGAAGTGAGAGACTTGTCTTTGCTTGGATTCACGTCAAGCATCAATGGAGTGGCATCAGGTGAGAGTCAAGTATAAAGCTCTCTGCTTGATTAGGGTCGAGCGTGAGTGGACAAGACGGAGAGCTCCCTACCTCAATTATGTTGGGAACCTAGTGAGTGGAGTCAAGCACAAGTCATATGATGAAAATTTGTTATTTAATGTTGTTTTACAATTGATTAATGATGAATAAGTTGTATGATGTAAATTTTCTTGTTCAAATTGTTTAACAGTTGATTTATGATGACATAGTTGTATGAATGATGATGTAAGATGATATATGTGTTGTTATGTAATAGGTTGGTCATGTTGAAAAGTTGTGTGTTGTTTTAAGTTGCTTAAGTTGATTTTTGATGTTCTACCAAGTTATAAATGTTGTAAAGATTATGATGTTTAAGTTGTTTAATGTGATAAGTTGCAAAGTTGAATGTTGTACAAGTTGTATGTTGCTAAAGTTGTTAAGTTATTAAGTTATAGACATGTAGGTTAGGTACATGTCTTAGCTATGATACATAAAACTATAAGTCTCATTGTGCAGATATACGTTGTGGTGAACCCATTTGAATTATTTATTTATTTAAACTTATTTTTATGTGATTTTAACTATGCATATAACATTTTTGGTTTGAACTTCAATTGCATTAAATATTATTTTTATACAAGTGAATAAATGAGACAAATTTCAAATTTTGAATCAATCAATAAAATATTAAAATATTGTCTCAAAATTAAAAATAATAATTATTTTAAAATAAAAAAATTGACCTAAATTTAGAACGTGAAAGACTAAAAATGAACATTTTGTAAAATAAAAGACCAAAATAATTTTAACAAATAAGATAGAGGATAAAAATATAATTTAACCCCTTTTTTTTAAAAAAAAATTATTATGTTTAGAACTAGATCCAGCTAGTGGTGAAATTTTGGAAAAATTTATTTAATATTATTTAAAACATGTACAACATTAAAAAAAATATATAACAAAAGAAAAGGTAAAAAAAATTGAACTAAAGGAAGTAGTAAACATTTAAATTTTTTAATTTATGAAAAAATTAATATTACCTTCATTTCGATATATTATAATAAGAAATAAATGTTTAATTCATCAATACTAATTAAAAAAATTAAATTAGTTAATTTTAATTAATAATCACA